CTGGGCTCTTTTATAATTAGCACGGGGCAGAACGGCCCCCGAGAAAGCCTCCCCCCCCTTGGCAGGGCTTTGATTTCCAACCCCGAGGAGCGAGGCGGTACTAAAGGTAGCTCTGCCCAATTGGTAGTCCCTGGGAGTGCTTTTCTCTGTGTATTAGATCTCCTTCCCCAGCAGTGTTTTGCTGGGCTGTGGACACAAAATCCGCCGTGTCGTCTCCCGTCAGAGGCTTCCGTCGGGGGATTCTGTGCACGGTGTGTTTAGCACTGGAGGAGGCTTCGTGGGGAGAGTTAAACAGTAATAATTTCGTAGTGGTCTTTAAGACAACCTGCCACGGAGTTATATTCTGTTAATTACAGGCTGAAGTTTTAAATGCAAATCAGATTTAAAAGGGTCCTCATTACAGACAGTATCCATTTTAGGAAAAATGAGCTATGGAGGGCAGAGCTGCTTTACAGACACCTCCTGCTAGAGAGAAACTGTGAAGGTTACAGGAGCTGGGAGCTTATGTTCCCCGGCTTCTCTTCCCAACGCTTCCACTGTCATTGTGTGACCTTGGGCAAAGCAAAAAAATTATTTTACCTGTCTGTGGAAAGCGGGGTAGGGGGGGGGTCATCACGTTTTGCTTTGGAGACTTCAGCACTTCTCCTCTTACCTTGCTTGTGCTTGTTCCAAAGGAGGGACCCCCGTGTGCCATGTGCTTGTTCCAAAAGAGAGACCCCCGTGTGCAAGCACAGATGCTTTTGGCCAGCCTGGCTTTAGCCTGTGAAGGAAGACTTGCCCGTGGGATTTAAAAATTTCCCCTCGGGGAAGGGAGTTTGTGTGGCTTTTCAGCTTTCTGTATGCACTGCTCTCCTTCGCTTCTTTCACCCTAACGAACTCCATCCTTCCTCTGCTACGTATCTAATACAACAAACTCCATCCTTCCTCTGCTACGTATCAAATACAGGCTCTGCAGATCTTGAGTGCACCCAACTTTCCAGCTGGATCCCAAAGGTTTCTCTCCAGGTCCCTGCGTTTCAGTAACCACGAGAGGGTGCTCAGAGCAGTTCCTCCCTTTGTCTGCCTCTCTCTCTGCCCAGAGCATCGCTGAAGTCCTGCTGAAGCAAACCTTATTCTGACCTGGCACGTGTTTTATCCCTCCTCCCACCTTGTTCAGCCAGGAGAAATATAGAGATGTACCGTTTCAGTCCATTACGTTACGCTCTTCCCCTGGCCGAGCGTCGCCCTATCAAGGGAAATTCCCTTCCCTACGCTTCGTCCTGAAAAATGCAGGGTCTTGTACCTGCACCCGGATGGATGGGCTTCCTATTCCTGAGAAATAAGCAGGAGTTATAAACATCTGGGCTTTTTTTTTTCTTTTTAAGTGTGACGCTTTCCAGTCATTCTGTCTTCACCAAGCGTAACTTAACTTGCCGACAAAAGTGCAGGAGCAGCTCTCCTCTTTAATAGTCTGCTGTTGGAGCTGCTGCCTTGGTGCTGGAGGATGGTGAGACGCCAAGCTGTGAACCACCATATGCACTTGGCAGTCTTTGTCTGGTCTTTGTTCAGCCAACCTCTTAGCCTTGCCACCTATAAAGATAATGAATGCAAAACGGTGCTCTGCTTGCTCTTAAAATTAGATGCTGGGCTTAAAGAAAAAAAATGAGATAACTTGAGGCTTTGCGGAAACTAGGAATTTCAAAATAAGGGCTGACATTTCACCAGCAGCACTTATTTTCCTGCTTTTTGATGTTTTTGGAGGGAGGATCCTTAACGGCTTTGAAACGCGAGAAGAATGCAAGATTTCACTGTTTGGAAGGGGAAATTATTTTAGCACTTATTGTAGGGAAAGGGGTGGCTGTTGAAAAAGCAACCACAAATAGTAAACAACGTCTTCACCTCCTCTCCAACAAAGTGCATTTCCTGGTAACGTGTGGTAACTCACTGCAAATCCTTAGGTTTCTGCACTTGGTCTTTTTCTCCAAAGCACAAAAATGAAAATCCGTACTTGAACTAACCACTTACTAAACTGTATTTCATGAGCAGAAAAGAGCAGCTTTAATGCCTGACCTTCCTTTTTGGAGATAAGTGATTCTAGCTTCTATGGTTTGTTTTTTTTTACGATCACAGTTCTTTCTAAGCTGGATTTAATGTAATAACTTGGTCCTGGCTGAAGCCTCATATGAAAACTTTCAAAAGCTGGCCTTTTACAGCGATTTATCAGGCCTGTTCAGGATTGATTTCCATTATAAAACCCTGGTTGCGGCATCCCAGATGTCATGGCACCTTGTGGGTTCTCTATGTTGTTTAAAAAAAACCAAAAACTCAAAAATCACTAGTTGGTCTGCAAGCCTTGATTTACACAGAACCATTTTACAACATCCCGAGTGGGGGGATCTTTTGGCTGGATTTGCCGGTGGGTTTTTTTTTCCACATTTACCATTTCTCAGCAACCAGCTCCTACCCTTGCCCTGTCTTCTGGGGGTACCTTTTCTTCTCCTCCACTGGTCCAGCAGACCCGAGGGTGCCTGGTCAGTTCTTCCCATGGCTTCCTGCATCCCTCTTTGCTTTCTGCTGGCCCGGCTCTGCTGTGGCTTCGCAGGGTCCAGCTCCTCCTCTGCCAACAGATGCCATTTCTGTCTCCTGAGGTGTGGGGCTGGAAGCTGGCCCTTCAAGAAGCCGTGCTCAGCTGAAGGACAGGTTATTTGGGGGACAAGGGGGAAGAGGCACAGAATGCAAACTTCTGCCTCGATATCCGCGCTCCTGAGCTGGTCTGCAAGGAACTGGAAACCCACCCTTTTCCTGGCAGAGCTCTCCCTGAGCAGTTTTTCTGTATCTCTTTAAAACCTGTTTAGTTGCTCACTACTGAACGCCTGGGAATGTGGCCCGAGGCTATGAATACTGTGGTGATCAAACTGATTTTAGATGTGTGTGTGGGATTTCCCCAAAGCTGGCTCTCATTACTCTGTCAACGCGGTGGCTGAACCCCTGCAAAAGAAACACTGTCTTCCAGACTTTGGCAGTGAGGGCAGGATTCCCCCCACCTACCCAGCAGCTTTTAACCAAATGTGTGCTACAGACTGGGCATGCCCTGAGATAAACCGTAGCCTGTCTTTGCTGTGAAGCGGGTAATAATTGGTTTTTCATCATGAGGTTAACAGGAGAAAAGTCTCCTGGTGGTCTTTCTTACTCATGCTGGAAAAGCCCCTCGTATTTCTTCTTGTCCACCATCTCTTGTCTTACTGATGCTCTGGTTTTTTGGAGGTGGCAGCTTAAGTTTTGGAGCATCAGTCTTTCTAGAAGTTGTATGTGTATGTAGAGTCAGGGGGTAGGGGTGAAAAACATAGCCATGATCTCAGACACTACCTACACAATTATTTATATATATTTTTTGAAAGATCTCCTGACAACCTCTTCCACCAGAATTTATCATAATTTCTCTATGATTTCTGGCAGCCACGCAGACTCAGTGCAATTAATAATTGTTAGGCAGATTAAAAGCACAGGCCTAGAGAACAACAGTTTGCACCCCTCAACAACCTTTTGTTTCCAACGGGTTCCACTGTTTTAAATAGTTATTCAGGGGTGTTCAGGAGCTCTGGTGTTGCTGTGCTGATCCGACCAAAGTGTCAGAATAAATCCTCAAAGTACAGGCTTCTTCCATAGATACTTGCTCAGTGGTGTGTTGTTGTGTTGAGGAGAAATTCTTTCTCTGCCATAACGAGCTGTTTGGCTTAAAAGTAGAAGTTAGCCTCCGGTATATGTGTGTGTAAAATCCTACAGCCTGTGTAGTAGAAATATTCTGTTTCTTTTCTCCTTGCAGAGTGATATTAGGGCTAAGAACTGAATTAAAGCTTACTTTCTTTCACAGAATTCCTCTGAGAGAGAAGACTGTAATAATGATGAGCCCCCTAGGAAGATCATTCCTGAGAAGAATTCACTTAGACAGGTATGTGATCAGTCTCTTTAAAAATGCAATAAAACTTTCTAGCTATTTGAATCCTTAAATGCTTCTGGAAGCTGAAGTCTGACTTGTGCTCGTGGAAATCCTTTCTTTTCTCCTTTGAAGTCTGAGCAAGTCACACTGTGCCCAGGAAAATCAAACACAGATATTTAGCTTTCCGGAGAGTTTGATGACTCTTTTGAAAGAAATCCAGACTTCTGTACTTCTGACTCAGCTGTGACTCTGTAGTTTCACCTTTCTTTGCTTGGTGTTCATCAAGACCTCTTTAGCCCCTTCTTCTGGAATTGTTCCTGTCTTATTTGTGGTCTGTTTTGCCTTGCTTCAGATGAAGAATCTCAAAGTGTTCTACAATAATTAAGCTTTTCATTGCCCTCGAATGTAAATTTTCTTGGATGTGATGTCCAGGTTAATAACCTGAAAAATAACCTGTTCTTGTTTCTTCTACGCTCATATAAATTACTAATGGGTAGAAAGGAGAAAGGGTGGTCTGAGAAAACATCATCTCTTTGTCTTTTTTATACAGTAAAGCAATTTTCTTACCAATTCAAAGTAATAACTTTTTTTAATCTCCATGGCCAACAAAGGGGGTCTGGCTTGTGATTTCTGGGGTATTTAAGTTGTATTAAGTGATTTGAGATCCTTTTTCACGTAGCACCTTGCTCTTTCTCCCCACTGCAACCTTCAGGCAGCAGAAGCAAAAATATTTCTGTGCTTCAGCTGTGCAAGGTTGGTGCCTGGTATATCAGAGTAACACCACTGATGAACGGGACTTAAGTGAATACCCCAGGCCACACATTGCAACAGCTGAGGGACTGACACATTTCCTTCTGCATCTCAGATTGGAGATTAGGAACAATTTTTAAATGGGAAGGGTTATTGCACATTGGAATGGGCTGCCCTGGGAAGGGGTTGAGGCCCCATCCCTGGAGGGATTTCAAAGCCGGGTTGCCATAGTGCTTAGAGCCATGGGTTAGTGATGGGTTTTATCAGAGTGAGGTTCATGGTTGGACTGGATGATCTGAAAGGTCCCTTCCAACCCAGACAAGTCTATGATTCTAAGAGGGCAAAGCTATTAGGTCCCTACTGTGTATCCCCAGGATAGCCAACAATATCACCAGTGTAACAGAAAAATGTTTTTTTTTTCATCTTAGAGTTATCTTAGTGATGCCAAGCCCTCGAGTTCAACAAGAAAAGGTGTATGTCTCTTCTCCAAGAAAACCTTCATAGTAAGAGATGTTAAGTCAAAATGAACTTGAGTTACCTGTCTTGTGTGCCTTCTCTTCTCCTTCCTCATGATTGTTGATTCAGGAGGAGACAAATATCACGAGCAATATTATGCAGATGAGAAGGTGTGGTTTCTTGAGTTGGAACGTTCCATCACGTTTCAATCTGCAGAAGAATTCTTAGTGTCCAGGGAAGGGTATCTTTCCTACAGACCCATAATTCATCATAACCAGGTGCCTAGATATCAAGGACAGACCTAAAAAATGCCTTGTACTGTCCAAATATTTCACAATGGAAGTAATTCAGATAGACATTGTTTACTTCAACTATGGTTAGCTGTGTATTAGCAGGGTATTGAGATGTTGTATCAGTCTCCATCTTTGTGTCCAGGCTTTACAGTGGCAGATGCAGGTCAAACCCCTTGGGTCTTCCGATTGCTATCTGGGGCCTTTTGTGTTGAAAACGGTGTTTGTGGACAAGATGTAGTCTTAATGTTAAAGCAAGTGCCACCTTGTCTAGATCATAAGAAGTGGTTGACCATGATTTCGTGCCTAGTGTAGAAGGAATTGCACTGCTTCGCTACACTCCCTGACCAAGAGTCCCTCCCCATCTCTCCTGGAGCCCCTTCAGGTACTGGAAGGCCGTTAGAAGGTCTCCCTGGAGCCTTCTCTTCTCCAGGCTGAACACCCCCAGCTCTCTCAGCCTGTCTTCATAGTAGATGTGCTCCAGCCCTCTGAGCATCTTTATGGCCCTCCGCTGGACCTGTTCCAACAGGTCCCTATTTGCTTAGTGCTGTGGACTAGGTCCCCTGTTGCTTAGTGCTGTGGACTAGGTCCCCTGTTGCTTAGTGCTGTGGACTTCTTGCTAGGAGAAACAAATTCTATTGATTAAAATGGTTCTCGGAAGAGGTTGTCTTCAGAAGTCTCTCAACGAGTGGAGCTGTGTCCTCAAGTGTGCTGGAAGTGGGAGGCACAGCCACTCTTAGGTGCATGAGGGGCAGCAACGCTGAAGACTCATGGAGTTTGGCACTGGGAAAGGAAACAGAAAAAGACAATGAACTTGACACTGTGAGCTGAAACAGTGAAAAGAGCTACGCTGTGACAGATTTTGAAGTAAGGATGCAAATGTTTGGTTCTCGTTGAGCGCTTGATCTGACAAAATTAAATTTTGAAGGGGTAAACTGGAAATCCGAGTATGAAAACAGACTTGAGAAAAAACAATGACAAGTGGCAAAAGTTTTTGGCAACTTTATTTAAGCTAACAAACGAATTTTCACACTGCAAAGTTATAAATTAATTTTAATAGGCTGATCCAGATGGTCCATTTGGAAAATGGATAGCTTGATCTGTTGAAAATTAAACTAAATTTATCTCTCTCATACTTCAAACTGAAGTAAGCGTGAGAAGAGTGCCCATTAAGTCCAGCTCATACAGATGGACCGGCAGGTCACACATGGGACTAATCTGATTCATTTTAAAAATAAATGCATGAGTTATTGAATCAGGTTCCTGTTTCAAGCCCTGCGTGTGAGCCTGTGTGTGTGTGTGTGTGTGTGTGTGTGTGCTGCCCTTTCAAAGGGACTCGCAAATGCTTCAGTGCCTTTTTAACCTGTGTGTTTCCATTTTAATTCAACTTCCTTGCCAAAAAACGTAATTAGTTTTCAGTGCCTATCATTTAGCGTTAGACCCAAACGCTAGATTGATTAGGTCAGGCATTTGTTATTTTAAGGGCTATGTCTCCATTCTTCATTTATGAAGAACACGAGCTCAATAGTCTTGGGGAGAGAGCCGGCCTTTAGAAACGGGGAAGGGGAAGCTCTCTGGGGGCCCCTCCAGCCTTTTAGCTTCTGGGTGTTTTTAACAGAGCCATGAATGCAGATTTGTAAATTTATTGCGGTGCCATCTGGTTTTTTTTTTGCAGGAACCGTATTATTGTTGGCTCGTATCTGTCTATTGTGGTGGTCACTCCCCGGGAGCTTGCCCTTATAGTCCTAAGGAAAGTGATGAATAGTGGGGGTCAACATGAATAGGTCACAGGGCAGCTGTCCGGGGCTGCCCTGAACTTGATTACCCCGCTGGTTTTTAAAGAAGATGGGCACAATGCAGGTTGTTTAAAAAAACCCTTCCCTCCCTTCCCTTCAGTTGCAGCAATAATGAAGTGCCTTTTGCTGCCCTGGTTTGTCTGTGGGCGAAGGTGCCTCGTGGGGAAAACGCTGCCGTGCCTCCTGCAAACCCCACGTTGGGCTCTGCTGGCTTTCTCCGAGCTTCCAGATGGAAGTCCAGGGGAAAAAAAGAAAAATCCCTGTATGTTACCCCGTTCGGACGGGCCCCGTAGCGTTGTCAAGAATTTTCCCTCTCACCATTAGGGCGCCGATTATTATCTCAGTTCACTCTTAGGGGTTTGAGATCAATTTGTACAATTGCACGGGGCACCTAAAACACGCTGTCGCGGAGTTAAAATAGGTACAGCCTGAGCTTCAGAGTTTAAAGCCAATGCACAAGCTGTAAGAAGCAGAAAGTGGTTCAAGAAGGTGGAGGAAAGGAAATTAAAAAAGAAGCAACCGTTTCCTTCCAGCCAGTAGCCTCATCCCACCGCTTAGGGCTCCTCTCCAGGAGTATTTCTCCTCCTCAAAAGTCTTTCTGTGGTGCAGAGTTGAAGCCTTCTTTTCGACTGGTGGGGAAGGCCACATGGTGAGGAGGGGTGAGGGTCCCTCAACTCCTTCCCTCCGTTCCTCCCACCCTCTGGAGAAGACAGTTCACATTTGGGTTCTGCTGGAGAGCTGGCCAAGGCAGGACATACCCGGGCTGTGAAGTTGTCCTGGTTACCTCTTCTTTGAACACTATTAACACTGGCTGGGAAGGTGTTGTTTGCTGGGAAGCCTCATGGAATTGCTAGAAGTACATCCTTAGTCTTACTTTTAAGATTAGTCTTTCTGTTTAATTTTTTTTTCTTGACTCTCAGAAAAAAAAAAAAAAAATAGAAAAAATAAAATAATCATTTCCACCATTCCTCTGTGACACTTAGTGCGTGTTCCAAACCCAGCCAAGGCGGGTTGTGCCGGAGTCTAAGTTACAATGGGAACGCTGCCTTGTGGCAGAAAGGCCACTGGGCTCTTTCAGCATTAGTGCTAATAGGGATCTGTCACCCGGCCACATTTCTGCATTCCTCTGTAATTGAGTAAATTGCAAGTGTTGTCTGCTCCCCCCTGCCCTTTGTGTCCATGTCCACTTACCATCCCAAGAACGTGGGCAGTGATAAATAAAGCCCTGAACAGGGCTCTCGACTCTTTGAAAGCAGCGTGTTGCCAGCCCCCTAGTTATATTTCTTTAAGTGTTTATGTTTTGCTGTATTCTTTCTCTTGTGTGGCTGGAACCCTGGGGATCCAAAGCCATGAGAGAGGCCAAGAAGCTAACAAAGTAGCTGTCCCCTTGTTAGCTTGTTCCTTTCTTCTTTAAAAAACAAGATGAAAACCATCTGGCTCAGGGCATTACATTTTCCTCCCCCATGCACCTCTATAGATGAAGAGTTTCACCTGCAGTGAGGGTTTACATTGATTAGGGAGGGAGCAGTAATTCAAGCCTCCATCCACTTCAGTGGTACTTTGCAGTCTTTAAAGGTGCTGACCCATTGAGTTAAACTGTCAAGGGAGGATAAAAAAGGATCTTCATCCCGGGAGGTAACAGCTGCCAGGTTTTCAACACCTTGCACGCTGCTGGAAAAATGTCACAAATTGTCAATGGAAAGAAAAATCACTTGGCTGC